CACCTATATCATGATAATAATTACTCTATGGGGTTTGATTATCAGCTGAGTTTTATTTTTGCAACAACAAAAAAATATTTAACAATTGAATGCATTGTTGTCTAAACAAACCAGTGAATTTAAAACCTAGTAATTATCTCTTCAACATCAAATCCACTGAAATTTCTCTTTATACAATATTGTACTGATATTCACACTTCCAGCCTCTTGGTGATATATTTGACAAATTCCATCTTGTAACCCTTGCCAAGCTTCAGGGGCAGGGGGGGTCAATGCAAATGAAACAATTTTATCCTCTGCATAGTTTTCAGTCCAAACTTTGTATGCTTTATGTGATGTTGTATACGATGTGTGGTAGTAACTATATTATTTACTTTTATGAAACTGAGCTGTGACCCTCCCCAATGTTGAGCCTATTATCACTACCAATCAGTATTTCATGCCCATATTACTGTGGAATACTTTATTTTCGCTGGAATTAATTTTCGCTGAAAAAGCTTTTTGGGCGTTTTGTATGGAATTTATTTACACTGATTTTTGATGAGTTTAATGTGAAATATAGGAAAATTAAGTATATTCGCTGGATTTTATTTACACGGAATCATCCCTTCAGCGAAAATAGCGAAAATAAATTCCAAGCGAAAATAAAGTATTCTACAGTATTTTGAACATGCTAATAGTACATTTTGATTTATTTCATAATGGATGGTATAAATAATAACTCATTAAAACCACAGCCTAAGAAGATCTATATATATGACAATGATGTATGAAAAATGTTTCTCCAGGCTGTTAACTGCACTCCTGTGCCACAGTGTCCATCTGTGTATGCAAATACATAAATATAGACATTATAAATTAGGATTGTTTAACGGCGGATATAATTCTGTATTTTTTTCCAGTATTCATAAATTGCTATGCTCGCCAGAGAGATACCATTGGTGCATGTTTCTTTAGAAAAATAGCATGGGGCTATATATACAAACTGAATGAAAAACAGTTGAGCCAGTCTTATGAAGTTAATGGAAACATGCACGCAACTAGGCAGGGATGCGTTACAATTTTCTGAGAGGATTATGTGTGTGGGTGTGTATACATGCAGATACATGGTATCATGCCAGAGTAAAAATAAAAACGAAAAATACCAGAGATAACAGCCCACTGGAGTCAGATCACCGCATAAATTAAAAGAATCTGACAGTAATATATCACAAGTGTGGCGTCTGAGCAGATCACCCAATTACAGCCATTCTCACTGCTGATTTGTTGACGTATTAAATAAAAAAAAAAAAAGCATGAAAATTAACATATAAAGGGACATGATAGTTAATGATGTAATTGATCATGTGATCAACACATTTTAGTAGATGAATATTAAGAAGTACATGTAGTATAGCAGTTGGTGGTAACAGTGCCTACTAGAGCTGACGGTTTTTGAACAGTACCACTTTGGACTATAATTTCTGCTGGCAGAGCTTTAAGTTGATGAGTTCAAAATGTCTGAACAGGAAGAAAACAAGGAAGCTCTTTCAGGACTTAGATCTGCTCTTGAAGATTTAGCTACCAGAGTCAAGAGACTTGAACAGCTACTTATGATGGGCAAAGCTGATATGAAAACAGACTCTAATATTACGCCACAACCAGCGATGGTTAGGATGTATTTCAGTGACAATTTGAACTTCTTTCTTCTACTTGTTTGCTAAATCTTCTTCTTTATTAACCTCCTGGCTTGGGTGAGGAATCATCTGTGTCTGATCACTTTACATCTCACTAAGCTTGGTAGTATCAAGTGTTTATTATCTGACTGGCAGAATAGTTTCCATAACTTGCCTGCTTCTGTTCTGCCAGTATAGTAGGGCGCTGCTATTATAATATGTTCTATTATCGTCTTTTGAGGCCCCTCCTTGTTCTCTAATCTGGCTGAATTTTGATCCACGTTGTGTAGTTTTTAAACGCTGATGTAGGATTTTACATGGGCTGTGTACTAGGACTACGTTATGTATGGCTTCTTTATTCCTTATTTTCTTTTAACTAAGCTTTTATTTCAGCTGTTTATATACTGTCGTGAAATATGAAATGCCTGATTTAATTTTTTGTTGTTGAAAACAATCATTTTTGTTCAACAACAATTTAGCTAATATACAGAAAGCTGTGCTGGCTCTAGTCACCGCCTGCTGGTTGATGTATTAGCTTTATGTCAAATGGTGTCCGGGCAGGACTATATGCTATAGATATGATCAACCCAGCTTGTACTCGTGTTTCATTTCACTCATTACAGCTGATACTGATATATATCTATATGAATTGCATGTGATTATAAATATAGAAATCATAAATCTGGGATTATTTTCTTGACTAATAACATGAATTCTTTACATTTAGGCAGCGGAGGAGCAGGCGGAGGAATCGCTCTCTGCTGACGATGCATTAAAGGAAGAGCAAAAAAGCGAACCAGCAAAAGAGGAGGTAAGTAGCAATTAACATCGTGTTATCGTTGCGTTTCTCTATGTTGTAATTTTTACCAAACCCATATGGACTTGTATTTTCATTTGATCCTGTAATGACCTGATATAGTATGTCATCAGAAATCCAAATTGAAAAAAGCAGTGTTTACAGAAGGCCCAAACAAAAATATTCATGGTTTTGGTCTTAATGTGTGGCGCTTTCAAATGTGTGCACAGCTTTTTTTAAAGTATGAAAAATGATAGGAAAGTAAAAAAAAACAAAAATGACCAGAAAATTTTTTCCTGTGCATATCACTAACAATATTAATAAAACTGTTGCATATGTATGTATAGATATAGAATTTATCATAGATAAATCCCAAAGTTATCAGGATGAATGTGACTTGTGGATGAGGTCAAAAGTTCAAAAGCATAATCTACAATATTCAAATAATGTTTGTGTTTATAATAATATATTTGATCATGAATGTAGTGGGTAAGCTATGACTTGTAACAATTTAGTTTAAAATAGCATATACTATATTAGTGCTATAATCAGTTAAAATTACCTCACACTTTCAAGTTTTAGTCATTATCTACATGTAAGCCTCATATTGCCAGAGATGTGTTAATTCATGGACCTGCTGTGATGTCAGACAAATTTAAAGTTTAGTCAATGCAATGGTCATTATTTTTCCTCTTAGTCCTGTGATGGAGAAATTGCTCTGAATTCAGAATCTCTTAATTTGATGGAAATACAATGTATGATACATTTATGATGAAATCTGTGAAAATTCCACATCCCATTATAACAGCTACATGTTCCAAAGGCATTACACTTTACCTTTTTT